CGTGATATCATCTATGAATGTTTTAAAAATATTGCCCATTTTTCTGCACTTAAACAAAAGACCTTGTAAAATGTATTAACTTTTGGCAGATAAATGAAAGTAATTTATTTAAATGTGGGTTTAATTTTAAAAGATTGTATGTTTTTAAAACAATTGTGTGTTGTACCCTTTTTTTCTACTTTGGGTCTACAATTTAAACCCTTTTTTATCCAAGGGGGAGATGTTATGAATTATTTTAAATATAAAAAAATGTTGTACAATGTAAAAAAGAACTTTTTTTTTAAGGGAAAAATTTTAAATTTTAAAAAAAAAAATTAAATTTAAAAAAAATTAAAATTTTTTTAAACATTTTAAAATATTAAAAAAAAGGGGACGTTATGATTGTTATAATTGTTGATGTTCCATTTTCGCAAGACCCAAAAACTTCTAACATCCCAAAGGGGCACGGGTACAGTCAAATGCCGTAGAAAAGTTCATGGTCAACAAAATTTTCCCGGGAATCAATTTTGAAATTTTCCCCTTCTACCTATTGGCAAACCGGGAGGGGCTCGTTTTTTTTAAGTATAAATCTCTTTTGTCAATTTTAAAATTGCAAAAAATTAATTGAATTTGACTGGGTTTTTTAAAATGAACATTGTGTAGACGATTGTAATCGAAATGATTTAATATACTTCCTTATTTCCGTACAACATATTATTAATAAAAATGTTAACATGGGGTTTCCGGATTAACACAATTGCAGGTGCTAATTGTATTTGCTATGTGGGTTTCCGGAATCTGAAACATGTCTTATTGAAATGCAAATTGAGCAATAATAAAATATCTGTACCATTGACATTTTCAGACGGGATGTAGGATGTCATGCAACAGTTATGCTTATGCACTGACTGTTATCATAACATGTAGGGAAAACGTTTAGTAGGTGAATGTAAAGTTCAAAGTTGTAAATTAGTTATCGTGCTGAGAGAGCTAAATACCAAGGTCGTAATTACAAAATAAAAATCTGTAAAATGTTACAATTTCATCTGAAACAATTAATCACCAGCAGGGAGAAACACATTTGCTTTGAGAAAAAATTCATTCATGTTTACAAAAGAAAGCTTAAAATAACGTGAATAATTCAAGTTACGTAAGCAAGAAGTTTCAAGTTCGCACTTAACAGATTCCATGATACCGGGGTATTAATAGGATATCGACCGAATACAAGTTGTTTCTGAATATTTCAGCGTAGCGCTCGAATTGTTTCATGAAAATTGTGGCCAGGTATTTCTTTAACATAAAGATCGCTGTACGACACCAAAAACCCAACAAGACGAAAACAAGTGAATTTGGCTTATCTTCTTTTCACTAGCGACAACAAATCGCGTGAGAAGGCAAAAACAAGTGAATTTGGCTTATCATCTTTTCACTAGCGACAACACATCGCTAGACAAAGCGAAAACAAGTGAATTTGGCTCTTCATCCTACAACTAGCAACAACACATCGCGTGAAAAGACGAAACAAGTACATTAGGCTCTTCATATTTCCACTAACAAAAATACACCGCGTGACACAAGACGAAAACAAGTGAATTTGGCTTTCAATATTTTCGTTGAATTTGGCGAGCAGACGAAAAAAGGTCTTCGTATGAACAGTAGACAACAAGAAAATTGTTTTAATATACCAAGGTTATGAAATGAATATGGTCAGATATATTGAAATTATAATATATCTCCATGTTATGAGTAACGTTAATATCAAAAGTCAACCTAAGCTAGAGAAACAAACTCGAGTACAGATGTAAATATAATACAATCCTGGGGTGAGTAACTCGAAGCTTTCGTTAGAGTTACGATCATCGTTAAGCCTTGGTTAAGCTCTAGTTAGTTATTTACCCTCTAACTCAAAGCGTTCGTTATACCAAAAATGCTAACGAAACTGTCGTAAAATAACGAACACCTCGGAGTACACGTTAGACCTTCGTTGAAGAAAAAGAAAAACAACGTGAGAAGCTATTTCAACAAATGAGTATGGATTATTTCTTTATTTTGTATTTCTTTCGTATTTTACAGGTAATAAGTACTTAGTATGTTCTAGTCACAAAGATAGGATTTGCAGCGATGTGATTTTTTCATTCAAAACTTCAAACGCGCTTGGCTATGGTCAAGTCTTATATAAAAAAATACCCATATTATTTATGTCCACATGGCATGATTCAAGCTTAAATGCCATAAATAGATACATGTTACCGGGGACCTTACCGACTTTTCATACTGCATACGTTTTCAAAATATATACTGTTTAATTTTTATAATGAAAATAATAAAAAAATAATAATCGCGCAACTGTACTCAATAAACTTTTAGTGAGAGCATTTCTTTCGTAAATGATTTTTAAAATATTTCCAAATATTTGTATAAAAATTATTTATTTATAAGTGGTGCGTTTTTCACTCCAGACAATGGCCGCCTTGCTGTTAGCAGTTGCATTAGAGCGCCGTAGGAGAGGGACTATTCCGCAGGTACGCGTTTTTTTCGAATATAGAGAAAATCCTCTCGACTTCATGGATGATGTTATTTGATAAAAAAGTATAGAATTGAACAGGAATGCCATGTACGATCTCTGCGAGGCGCTCAACAATGATCTAAGCCGTCCAACCAAAAGAAGCAATGCACTTCCGGGTATCTCTTTAAAGTACTGATGGCATTGAGATATTATGCAACTGAAAGTTTTCAATCTGTAGTTGGTGATGGTTATAGTGTAAGCAGTATGGCAGTATCGCGTTGTTTAGCGAGTTTCTATTTTTAAACGGCGTTAAAAAAATGAAAATCAAAATTTTTACTTGATGAAAACAACGACTGGTAAAACAAAAAGGGTTTTTTCGAATTGCCAGTTCCCCCCATGTTCTCGTAAAAGTGGGTGGGGGCATTGTTCCAAAAAGAGCTCCCATGATGTGAACATTTACTTTGCGTAAGGGGTTTATGCGATGAATATTTAGGGAAAATTTACTCAAAAAATTGTTTTTAAATTTGTGGTTGTTGGCCGGTTGAACCCCTGTCATTTTTCTCGCTAACAGTGGATTTTTGAGGGTTTGAATTGGGCGTATTAACATGGGTGGTTCTGGTGACAGCGCTATCCCCGAAAACAGGTGCTGACACCTTTCTGCCCCATGTGATGCAGCTGAAAAGCGTTACAATTTTGCTCATAAGAGGACAAGATGCACGGTTGAAAAGAACATTTGGTATCTGGATAATGAGATTCCGATGTTACATAAATCAGGAGGATATCTCAGTTTTTCACCAGCAAGATGTGTAAACGTAATAATGGCAACAGGGATATTGCACAATATTTGTACAAGAAAACACATACCTCTGCCTGACGATACAGACGAGGACGATAGCAACCAGCAAGCTGAGACTGAAAATGAAAATGAACAAGAAGAACAGGAACAGGAAGTGTTTCAGGACGGACGGCAGGCACGGGCAGATTTGATCAACAGAGTATTTAGATAACTGACTGAAATTCATATATATTAGAATGCTTAATCAATAAACATAGGGAAAACAAAGCGACTTGTTGAGAGCTCTGTTATCTTATGGTTATTTGTGTTTTTGCCTCGCAAGTCAACACTATCTGTGTTGCATGTTTAACAATACATCACGTGTATTCTTTCATATATGAAATCAAAAGAATATAATACATGCACTTCATTGCTGTTTTAAACTTTTAATATTTAAAAAAAACGTAGAAACTTATACTAGTTCTATATACAAAGTAAAATAAAAAGAGTTCATCATAAACACATACATGTACACTGAATTAGCGCAACACAGTATATTGATAAATGTTATAATTAAATTCAGCGTAGTATATTTAAGAAAACCATTTTATATGTTCCATATACTTTGAATAAATGGCTTACCACTATTTTCATGGAATGAAAAAATATAAATCGAAACTTGCTTTGTATCTCAAAGTATTTTCATGTTAACAACAGACGAACATTTTAAATATTTTCACCAGTGTGTAACAAAAGTATTGTAATCGAAGTTTTAGAGAAATTGAAACTCATTCCTTGACTAGCATCATTAAAATCATAACAAAAATTATCTTGCTACAACAAATTTGCAAGCATGACCGTATATATTGTACTTAAAAATATAGAAATGATGTGTAAGATCGGAATATATTTCACCGAGTGAGCACCAAAAGGTATATTTCACGAGTGGCGCAGCCACGAGTGAAATTTTAACTTTTGATGATCACGAGGTGAAATATATTTCGATCTTACACTAAACTAAACAAATTTTCTTTTTATTATATGCAAATAAACGTTTAAGAAACATTTTAACCTAACACCAAATAAAAAATACGCCAAATATTAATACAATACATATATCCAACAACTTGCATGGATTTGTTTTCTTTAGATGCGTTTTATGCCGAACATATGATATACAAATCAAAAGATAAATAAAGACTGTCAACTGTTTCTTGTGTGTTTCACAGATATATGCTTGAACATTCGTACTTACAATAAAAAGATAAACAAAATCAAAAATACGAAAAAAAAAGATTACAAAGATACGATTTCACACATATTTGAATATTCCATCTGAAATGTGTCTAAATGTGGTACATGTGTCGTGTGTAAGAAAGTAGATTTGAAGGAATTTGATCTATCATATTATGTCCAAATCGAATCTTGCCGCAGTATTTGTTAACAATATTAGCCCACTTCTGTTTAAAATCTTTAATGCTTAAATTGATACATTTTTAAGTTTTGCATTTTTGAGATCATATACAGAAAATCATCTGGACCGACAGGTGCTGCGTACGTAATGATAAAAGTTTCGACCGAATTCAGTTTCTCAGCAAGAAAACACTGCTGTTCAATATTAAATGAGGCACCTTTAATTTCAATATATTTCAAATGTGACAGTACCGGAAGTAAAAGTTCAATAACATCCATAGGAGATCTTCCGAACACCGAAATAGTTAGCTGTCGCAATTGTCTAAGATTGGCAAAAGTACATCTATTAATGTTGATTAGATCAACATCCAACCGCAAAATCACCAACTTCCTCATATGCGGTATTACGGTGGAGAAATCAGGAACTGACAAAGGCTTTACAAGTGTGACATTTCTAAAAAGTGCCCAAAACCAAGTTGCATTTGTAATTTTCTGCCATTTTTTACACACCGCTGGAATGGTACTTAAAATTTCGTCAACTGGAATCATGACAAAAATCATTCCTAAAACTTCTGGCGGCAGCTCGGTTCTTACCTGTAAAATAATAGAAATATATCACTAAACGTAAAACTGCTTCAATCTTAAAAGTTAAAGTTGAAAATTTACCGTTTAGCAGTTAGTATATATGAGCCGTGTCACGACAAAACCAACATAATGGGTTTTGCGACCAGCATGGATCCAGACAAGCCTGCGCATCGGCGCAGTCTGATCAGGATCCATACTGTTCGCTTTTAAACATTTTAACAAGTACAGAAACTGATAGCGAACATAATGGATCATGATCAGACTTTGCAGATGCGCAGACTGGTCTGGATCAATGCTGGTCACAAACGCACCATGTTGGTTTTGTCGTGACGCGGCTCAATATATTATGTTTTACTATACAAAGCTATTGCATACTAGTATAGATGATACTTTTGACTGATAAATATTTCACAGACTAATTACAAGTTGCAATTGTTTTCTCAAATGGCATAGTCACGATTGAAAATATAAAAGTTGGTGTTCACGGGGGGAATATAATTTCATTTTGTAAAAAGAACAAATTTTCTGTTAATGATTTTAGATTTACATTTTACTGATATTTAGCGACTTGTAAATGAAATTTGGAATTAAATGTATATAATATCAATTCCCGCATATTCACTGTCAAAAAATAGTTTTTCACTGCAGTGAACCATAACTTCCGTATTTTCACTGGGGTCTCCCCGGACTACTTTCTTCTAAATTCAGCCAATGCATAAAATTAACGGGAAAGTTATAATGTCAATAATGAGAAAAATGTATATAATAAAAAGAAAATTTAAGATTCCGCCACTCATGAAATATTTATTTTCATACCACACGATGAAAATAAATCGTGCATTTATAGAAAAAACATAAATATCCTCTATATTTTTAACATTATGGCAGACATGTAATCACATCTATGTAAATAGCATACCTAGATTTTAAGGATGTATGAATATAGTTCAAATTATATTATTCTAGGGTGTATGAATATAGTTCAAATTACATTATCTGTTTGCTCTAACTTACGTTTTGTTCTTATCCTTTCTTGTTTTTTGTTTATTCGAAAAAGAGTTATCATGTATATAATAAAACTAAGGTAGGGACAATGCTGAATACATTTTATACTTATTAAACAACAACAACAAAAGAAATATGACAGTTTGAATAATTGGTAAAGCTTGTGCATTGTGGGTCAAGTTTGTATCAGCGGTCACGGTCATAGGACTTAATAAATAATCAGTTTGAAAATGAATTTTAAGACGACGTTCTGTCAAAATAAAATACTGACTTTGACATTATTTTAGATCATAGAATGAAACACCATAATATGTATATCCTACAGTATTTAAATATTGAACATTTGGTCAAATCAAAACTATTTTTTATAAAAAACACTTCTTGTGTTATTGGATTAACAAATACCTTTACAAAGACGTATATGTCTGTGCTTCAGTGAATTGGTCAGCAAAATGGTTGTTTAGAGAACCGTCCCTCTGGCTAACTAATCTAGTCAAAAGTTCAATAACTTTTTCTTCTTTCTCAGCTCTCGACTTTTCTATATCAAGACGTGACTTTTCAATGTTTAACCTTTCTCCCTCAATGCGAAGTCTTTCCTTTTCAATGGATAAAATGTCGTCTGAAACTAGTTGACTTCCCGTCTTCTTTCGCTTTTTGTCAAGTGAAGGTGTTTTTTCTAAGCACCTCTTAAGAGATTGCACTTCAGGTTCTTGGTCGATTATAACCGTATCACCACTATCAGAATTCCCTGGCGTATCATAAGTCTCTAATGTGCTGACAGCAAAAGCTGTTTCACTGTCGTCCGAGTTTGGATTTTCTTTTGGTTCTTCATTGTATATGTCAGAAAAATTCTGACTCGGGCTCACTGAACTTGGACTGCCCAGCGTGTCCATCCCTTCAGGTAAACCAGAAACTACAACTTTTCCCAGAATAACTAATACCTTCTCTTCCAACAGACTTAAATCAGGCAAAGTGTCAACACCGCCACCAGTTTTGGTTTGGCTTTTTTTCTTTTTAGATGCTTTGACCTTGACAGTGCTTGACCAATCATTCCATTTTCGCCGTATTTCGTCAACCGTACGAGTAACCTGAGAGACAGCATTGATCTTGTTTGTCACTTCGCCCCACGACTTTTTCTTTTTCTCAAGAGATAGAGTATCACTAAATTTACCAAATAATGTAATTTTTCTCAGACCTACCTCATGACAAAGTATTTCAAGTTCATCTTTTTCAAAGCGTGGTCGCCTTTTACCTTTTTCTTCCATTATTATTTGTGGTGCAATGTACTCTATGTGTCTATGACAGATGGCGCGAAATGCTGTGTATACCCTTATCGATTACACAACGATTTCGTTATGAATTTTAACTAACGATTGCTTAGCGATTACATAACGATGCTTTCTGGTTATGCAACAAAAACAATCGTAAAAATGACTAACGTGTTCGTTACGCGATCGCTAACGCCTTCGTTAGCGTGCTTTTAACGAAAGCTTCGAGTTACTCACCCCAGCGTGACACGTAAGTTTAAATTGTTGAAAAATTGATAAAATGATTCTTGAATATAGTGAAGCATTTTTCCCATTATTTCTTATATTTAATACTTTTGATACCAGTTCGAGAGTAGTGTGAAATAGAACAGCCTGTGTCAAATAGTCGATAAAAAACGCTCAGACCGATTTAGTCGATCTTTGGTAAATAATTTATTATAAAAAAGCCATATTTTAAATAATTCTCTTAAAGCATCCTTCCGAGGAGATAAAATTGCTCTAGAAAATCACGCTATGATTTAGTTGTTGAACACGAGAAATGAGATCCAAAGTTAAGTTTACATTTTTTATATTGACAAGTATCCACAAAACATATAATTTTTAATTTTTAAAGGTTATTCAACGCGGCAAATTTAAAACGTGTTGCAAGATTCCTTTAATTATCTTGCCCATAAACGTCAATGACAAACAGGACCGCAATCAACGTTGGAAATGGTGTTTAAATTAGAACTAAGAATCATCTACAAATGTGTCTAGTGGATTTGATTTGACATACTAATAGGAACCAAGTATTCTGTACAGGTAGATTTCTTGCGAAAGTATTTATATTCTAGCATATACATTGTACAGTTATTTAAATCAAATATACTGTCTCCGATTAATTTCTTTATGTTGAAGAATTCGTGATGAATCATTTATTGTACAGTTTGATTTACCTTTATGCTTACTGGCATATTCATCTTATATCGATCTCATTTAGATACATTCGTATTTAAGAGAGAAAAGGTTAATTGTTCTTTCCAAATGGTTCTCATTTAACTTAGAGCAATGAAGATGATTTTCACCTATATAAAGTAGCGTAGAATGTAAAATTGTTTGTCATTAAAATAGCAAAGTGTAAACAGATGTGTTTTGACATCCTTACAAAGTAATAAATCACTTTAATAGAACAAATTTCTTCCAATGATAACTGAAGAATAAAAGGCTTCTGGGAAATAGCAAATGATTAACTTTTTGGAAACATCCAAATCATTAAAAAAAACTTTCGGGACAATGAAACAAAGACATTTCAATTGCATCTATAGACATATTTGTAACATAAACACATGATAACGCACTTGGCCTATTTGATATATTTGACGAGCTGTGGAGTACAATAAACTTGAGTGGTCTTACTGTGAGAAACTAAATGAGTAAAAATGTATGACACGTCAAACAGTTTCACACGAGCTAATTAAGTCCAAGAAATACTTATCCCTTAGTCATTTTACTCTATTATTATTCGTTTATAGTCACGAAATGGTATGCAATCACTTCTATTTATTGCTGTGTCAATGGTCAGTACTGTTATCCGCCAGAAACACAATTATAGAGAACACATCATTTTCTTGAAAGTTATTAATATTTTTTTTTTCATTTTCAAACACATATATCGGTGTCCGATGATATTAATTGACGTAACATCTAAATAAGAATGAGATATTTATGAGTCATTTCCTTTCGACCGAGATGTTGTAATAAATTCAGTTTCAAAATATTAATCCACTCAGATAAAATATCGTGATATATATTATTTATGGTTCTAGTATTTTTTATATGAAGTGACAAGTGTAGAATGATTGACTCATTACACATCTTTCAGATATCACATTATACCTTTTAGCTATAAAAACACATTACCAGATTTATGCAAAATTTAATGAAAACTCAATAAAAAGTAATATAACTTTCGTTGTAAAACCTTGGACTTCTATTTACATTATATGCCATCTGGAGACGTGCAGCTTTGAAATGGCCTATTGAATGAAAAAAAAAATGGCTTTGTTTCTTTCTTTTTCATTTATTTAATTAAGTGAAAGGTTATCATTTGAGTCAAACAAGAAAGCGTGCTTTGTTGTTGGCAATTTTTTGTAGGTTGGCGTTTGGTTTATGCCATTTGACAACGAAAATAGTGATATTATTAAGGGTATAAATCCTTAATCTGCTTTAACCGGAAGTGACGAAGTGATAAAACTTTGTCACCAATATAACAACACATTAATTCAGTTTGAAAAGATTTAAGACAATTAGTTGCCCAACTGCCAACTGATATCTTTCATCTTGAAACCCCAAAACTTTCTTACATAGAAAAGTTTGCGCTTACCACGAACGACCATGAACCGATTCAGTAAAACTGAGTCTAAAACATTATCAGTTTTGTCGTTTTCGTGTTGTTTATTCTGTTATACACGTTCACATAATTTGTTATACATTATTACCTTTGGTAATTAAAGCATCAATAGCCCGTGAAAATTCATTATCAATCAGTGGTTATTCCTGCCTAACTGATAGACAAACATAGAACTCTGGCTGTTAAACTGTTAAAATGTAATATCTATAATTAGTTTATTAAGGGCAATGACTGTTCTAAAAGTACATTATCTACCATACAGCGAAATACCCGTAATACTCAAATAGCAAGTTAGATTGGAATGTGTTATAAATACAATTGCTTAATAATTTGACTGTGATTTTGATTTTTTTTTCGACAATACTTCTAGATTTGTTTAGATCAAGCAGAGAATAATGATTACAAATATTGTTTGATAGTATTGACTTGAGACATGACCTTTGACCGGTTATTGTCGGATTCCGAAGTAAATCATACGGATTTAAAAGTATGGCCTAACGTTATACAGCATAACACTTGCACAATTACCCTCGGTGATAAGGATTTGACACTTTTATTTTCAAATTGAAGATTGTAGGTTCAATCTTAATGAAACATTTTTTAAATGTTTTCTTTTTAATATTTTATTTTGCGGAATGTGCCAACTAAGTTTTTGTGCATGTCAATCACCCATGGTACGTCTGTACAAATTAGAATTATAAAAATGTACATATACATCTATATATTAAAAAAAATTATATAAAGAAAAGACACACTCATTTAAAGAAATGATTCATTCACTTATGCTGCATATATTTGAACAAAAGAAATTAACGAAATCTGAAAAGAAGTTTGTTGAGGATTCGAACTTACAACTTCAGGATTGCAATGCTATCATACTTACCACCAGGCCATCGGGACGTTTATATAAAATTTAATATCAAGAACTTTACGGAAACTAACGAAAAAGCTTCAGGAAATTAATGAGTCTCAGGTCAATATTGCCAAACAATACTCATATAAGGCATTGTTTACATGTATTATGATATCGGGATTATTTACCTTTGCTATCAAAACAGGACAAACGTATTGTAAACGTATTCAAACGTATTGTAAACGTATTGTAGAGGACTAAGAGTTACATTTACAAAGGAACATAAGTTTTGGTTTGTTAATTAACGATATTATTTTGATCTTGTTACTTTTTGCTGATGATATGGCTACTATAGGCACAAGCCCGGATGATTCACAAAGTAGCCATGATTTATTGTATACTTATTGTATAGAATATGGATTAGAAAATAATAGTGAATAAACCAAGATAATGATATTTAGAAAAAGGGGAAATATTTATACAATGACAAATGGTTTAATAAGAAATAGAAATTGTAGACCATTTTAATTATTTCGGCACAGTATGTAGCTTTATGTTTTCTTCTACTCCGCATTTTAAGCCCAGAACTTCTGTTTGGATTAACTAAAAGAACAACCTTCAAGGCAAGAAGGCAAGTTTATTATCCCGATTATAATATATTCTACATACCGTTAGCCAATTATATGTTTAAGACAACGTAATTTGTCACATATATGGCAAAATACTAGTATATGGAGATTTGCAAGGAAAAGTATAAAATCCTCAGGGTCGTCCAAAAAGGAAAAAAACAACATGCAGACTCGTTTTGATTGAGCACGTTCGTGAATATCACAGGAAAGTCAAATCACCGTCCACGCCCTCCCGGCTTCAGCACCGGGTTATACATTACTCATCATTTATAGATGAAAATGGTGTCAAATAGAATTTAGAAATACCCACACATGTGTTCATTAGACGATGAAAATGTTATAATGTGTTCATACGGCGGTTATCATGGAACCTTCAACGTGACACTTCCACTTGCACTTTCCAGTACCGTCCATGAACAGCCTTATTCAAACCGAAATAGAGAAAAACAGAATCCCTAAAGAAAGCCCAACACGGCAAAATTGTAAATTATTGCAGGCTCGGGTTTTATTGAGCCTGTTCTAGACGGTACTGGAAAATGCAAATTACCGATCACGCCCCTAGCACCGGGTTAAGCAGAATTTAACATTTAAACTCAAAAATGGTGAAATTTAGAAACATCCTCACATGTGTTCATACGGCGGTTATCATGGACCTTCAATGTGACACAGTAGTGTCTTTCCATGAAAAGCGGCGAAGGTCCCAAAGTAAAAAAAAACGTGTGCCTTTAACGAGAAAACAATGGGCGGAACTCTAAATAAAATGGAATTTTGAAAGGGGATCCGAGGTTATGAAGCCTGCATATCAGAGACAAGACGTCAAAAGACAAAAAGCAGGCAACATATCATAAGGGTGATTATACAGTATTCAAGTAGGAATACTGGAACCACCCAATTTGAAAAAGGCCAAATACAAGAAACTACAAATACCATCTAAAATGTATACACATACACAAAAATAATGTCAATTTTGCCTTTTCTCTATTTAATTACACTTGATTATATGGAACTTTGAATGGGGATCAAAAGTTATGGCGCATGAATATCACTGACCTGCCTTTGGAAAGTAAGCAACGTGGTGAGCATACAATATTCAAGTGTGAAAACAGGACTAAGGTCATTCATAAATAGAAGAAACTTAAAATACCACATTCATATAACTATAATGTTGTGCAGAATGATCTTCAAGGACTGGATATATAACATACCTGATTGAATATACGGAGTGACTTCTTTCTTGCACAAACAACGCTGATTTGACAACATTGAAAATTTTGCAGGCCCCGTATACTGATGTAGCGCAAGAATTAATCATTAACAAAAATT